AGAGTCTCACTTTGTCGCCCTCGGTAGAGTGCGGGGGCATCACAGCTCACAGCACCCTCAAACTCTTGGGCTCAAGCAATTCTCTTGCTTCCACCTCCCAAGTAGCTGGGACTACAGGTGCCAGCCTCAACGCCCGGCTATTTTTAGAGACAGGGGTCTTGCTCTTGCTCAGGCTGGTCTCGAACCTGTGAGCTCAGGAGATGCGCCAGTCTCGCCCTTCCAGTTCTAAGATTACAGGCGTGAACCACCTCGCCCGGCCCCTATTTCACTTCTCTAAGCCTCAGTTTCCCCCACAGGGTTTTTAACAACTCAAAGATGCTGGTACAGAGCCTGGAGCCAGGGTGATGGACGTCCTCCTTTACCTGCGGAACAGCTGCAAGTGCACCACAGATGGCGCCACCTTCTCCACCACCGCCGCGATGAAGTTGTACTCGCTCCTGAGCAGGCCCGCGCTTTGGGTTCCTGTGAAGAAAACTCTCCTTGCTTGCGGGCAGCAGGAGCCCGGCTTCTGGGCCACATAAGGTGTCATATCTCAAATCGCTCAGTCTCTCTCCTCTCTCCCCTGCACTTTCCTGTCCCTCCTCTCCTCGGTCTCTCCCTCCCAGATGCTCCCTGCGCCCTATAAGGATAGACGGAGGGAACCAGGCCTGTCACCCTGATTGCAAAAAAAAATTTAATGGTAGTGGGGAGAATCCCCGTGATAACCGGTAAGAGGGACCCTTTAAGGAGGAAAGGAACCCAAGGACCCAAGGAACCCAAGGCACCCTTTAAGGAGGAAAGGAACCCAGGAACGCAAATGGGCTTGCAGTGGTTCTCAATCTTCCTAATGCCAGGATGTATTTTCATTGTTATAAAGGGGTCGCACCCAAGGTTGAGAACGGCTGATTGAGTCTCTGAGGCAAATGAAGCCGAGAGGACCCTTAGCCTGCTGATGGAAATAAGGTAATGTTTATTTGCGCTCCTGAAGAAACTTCAAAAAGTGTCCCGAGAGCGCGCGGGGTCCTGACGCTCACCTGGATCGCTGCAGTCGCCCTTTTGCACCGGCACGGCCGGGAGAGCGCCCCGGAGACGTGCGGCGCGGTTCTCTGCGCGGAGCGCGCACAGGCTGGGGTAGGTACGTCCATCGCTGCCGCACACGGCCGCGCCCGCCGCCCGGCAGCCGCAGGTGCCGAGCCGGCCGCCGAACCGCGCACTGCACTGCAGCCCCTGGGCGCACGGCCGGCCACGAGCCCCGCCGCAGGCTTCGCCCTCGGCCGCTGGGCAGACACGGCAGCAGCGGCATCGGTCGAGCACCGGCGTCGTCTCCGCCGAGCAGGTGGGCAGCGGCGGGCAGCGGGTTGGTTCGCAAGCCACGGGGCAGGACAGTGAGGCCCGGGACTTCCTGGCCTCGGACTTGGGTACAGGCACCGGCGGCAGCAGCAGCCACAACAGGAGAAGTCTTCCGAGCCCAGCTGGCCGCAGCTGAGATCTAGTCATCCTTCCCTTTTCCTTCTTTGCTTCCACTTTCCACTGACTTCACTCTGAACCCAAAAACGCTCTAAAATAAGCAACACCTTCTCCTGGCCAGGGTTGCGCCTCCACCAGGCCCAGACTTTAAGGGGCAGAGCCTGGCAGACCTCTCCATACACACACCCAAATATCCCCCACCACCCAGGCCCGCCCCCCGCCCCCGTCCCTACCCGACCCTGAGCAGGGACCTACCTCGGGAAATCCAGAAAACCAATGAAGGGGGCGCACTGACAAGAGAGCTCACCCACCCACAGCTGGACAGTCCGTGTTAGGAAAACACAACCGTATTTCAGTATTTCACGTGGTTTTATTACAAAACAAGCAACAAAATAGTTTTAGAAAATTATTTTTTGGTACATACCAATTAGAAGATCACATAAAATGAGAAACGTAACACTTTCCATGCACTCAGCTCAGTGCTTACAGGGAGCACATTTCACAGCTGAAACATACTTGTTCAAAACACTAAGTCATGCCACTTCATAAGCAGAGGGGGAAGAGGTCAAACAGTATGTTTTTGCCAAACATTGGCTTTACTGGATCTCTACCTAGCACGAATGACCGTAACTGACTGCTGTAGGCAATAATGCAGAACTAAGCAAAAGGAACTAAGAAAAAAATGAGCGTTGATAGGCAAGATTTATAAACCTGTCCATTTCTGACATGTCCAAAGTTTATAAACAAACCTTATTTGGGAAACTCAAATTTCCAAAATGCTGTATCCTATATAGATCCTATAATCCTATATCTCTTTATTTGATGAACACTGAAAACAAACCTATTAAATCCCCCAGCTCAGCTTCTGAATCTGCTATTTATTTATGGGGTCCTTTTTATAGCCCATATGGGAACAGAAAGGAAAAAAGAAACTTTTGTTTCGAGTAGACTAAGGAGCTGCACCTTAAAACTACTTTCTTTTCTTTGGGAGCTCAGCACTCCAGTCAAAAGTAAATGTGAACTCCAATGTTTTGACCTAAAGTCAATCTCCATGATTTATGCCTTAGCATCCTGAGGATGTTTCGTAGACTACTAAAGGCCAAACTACCAACCAGCTGACAAGTAAGCAAGTTCTTGAAAGGTTTTAAGAATAATGGATGCTAAGTAGCTCAGTCTTAGGAAAGATCGCCAGAAGTACTGCTCCACATAGTGGGTCAAGACCACTTCCAAAGCCTTATGAAAAGAGCACAACTCAGGAAAGGTCTTTATTCCACAGAGAAAATGCAGTACCTTTTTCAGTTCCCTCTTTTAAAACCCAGATTTATTACAGAGCCTATGAATTCAACCACCAACCTATACTGTATCCTAACCTCACACAAACACACCTTTTCCCATTTGGTTCCATGTCATACATTTAAAAGTAAATGCTTTGGTCAAATATGCACCACCTTTGCTACATATTAAAAGATTATTATTTAAAACTGGCCAGAAGGTTAGAAATATGGACAGAAAAGGAATTCTGAAATAAGATTTGGGAATGAGAATGTGGTTTGATGTTCACTACATGAACAGTGTTCTAACTTGGAACTCCCAAGTATTTGCTAATTAGAGTCCTTGTTTTTCCTTTATTAAGATAATACAATCTGGATTATAAGTATGTTTCACACATTCTCAAAAGAAACCTCGCTGTATTAGAAACATAACAGTTTATTATAATGGCTAATTTTTTTTTCAAAAAGTAAGAAATGAGTAGACTGTCACAATTTAAATACCAAAAGATGACATCTTTTTCACAAGTCAGGTAAATAATTAAAGAGATCTCAAGGGTACTGGCCACTGGCACAGTGGATAGCAAATCTCTGCTTACAGTTCAGAAGAGATCCCAAAGTTATATAGTTCCATATCATATATTTTGAACTTTGACTACCTAAAGAATTTCCTTTAGGAAAATTCAGAGGTAAAACCAGCAGTTACTTATAAGAATTTGGAATGGCTCTTGAAAGCAGGAAGTTGTAACCTATGTTGTATGTTGTAACCTAAATCACTCATAAAAAAATAATCCTTAAACAAAAAATTCCTGGGGACCAAACTATACCAGAATTTATAAAAAAGAGGGGGGGAAAGAGAGAGAGAAAGGAGGAGACATCCAACAGTAAATTTTTTTTAATACCAAAACCAATCGGCTAAATTTAATTTAAGCCACAATGCAGTACCGTCAGAAAAAATTCTCAATGTGACACAGACTTCACAGAAACTACACTGCCTTAAAAAAAAACATGATTCCTCTCGGGTGGCGCCTGTGGCTCAAATGAGTAGGGCGCCAGCCCCATATACTGGAGGTGGTGGGTTCAAACGCAGCCCTGGCCAAAAACCGCAAAAACATGATTCCTCTCAAGTCACTAGGGATTTCCCTCATCCAGCAGTTTTACCTCTGCATATTAGATTTGGTCATAAGAAGGGGAGGGGATTTGTTTAAGTAAAAATGTTTCTCTTATTCTCTTCCTCTAGTCACTAATTTTTATTTTACCACATACACCTGAGCCAGTGGGCTCAAATCCAGCCCAGGCCCGCCAAACAACAATGATGGCTGTAACCAAAAAATAGCCAGGTGTTATGGTGGGCGCCTGTAATCCCAGCTACTAGGGAGGAAGAGGCAGGAGAATAGCTTGAGCCCAGGAATTGGAGGTTGCCGTGAGCTGTGATGCCTCAAGCAACAGCTTGAGGCTCTATCTCAAAAAACAAACACAGGGGCTCGGCGCCT